TGGTTGAGAACAAAGTATTATACTCCACAAGCTTCTTTACTGCATCAGGAAGAACGTTCACCTTGCTATGAAGACTCGAATAGTTTATTTCGATCTTCTCTACCCCCTTTGACATCTCGGACTTGAGATCCTCCATTTTGAGTTCAATAGACTCTTCCACCCTTTAATTTCCTCACCAAAAAGAACGTGACGTTCTTTGGCAACATCTCGAAGTTTGGTGACCTCATAAAAAAAAAATTTCAACATGAAGCTTTAAATTTTCTTCATGCTCCTACTCAATCTGATCCATGGCCATCTTTAAACGATGCTATTGTGATTTAAGCATCACATCCACCTCGAGCATAGAAACTAAACTAAGACCCCTTGAATATGCTTGAATTTGTATCAAAGAATTTGACTTATGATTAAGAATTTTAAATTGTTTCCCTGACATAAGAATATGATCAAGAATGTTATCTTCTTCTGGGTCAAACGAAATCTCGGCAAATGATACCATCACATCATCATCATCCTGATCATCTTCTAGAACTGACTTTTCCCATCAGTGGACTGGAAAGAAAAAAGTGATGTAAATGGTTGATGCATAATGTTTAAAAAAGTGGGTGAAATGGTAGATGCAGGTAATGAAGATGGAGTATGTGAAGAGAAGTGTGGTAAATAAGTTGAAGTGTCGATGAGGGTAGTTTCGATGGTTGAGTAGAGAACAAGTGTAGTAGGAATAGAAGTAGTTTCAATAGAAGATGTACCTTGAGCTTCACTTTGCTTTACTCCTTTAACGATAGTGACATTTTTTCCATATCAGATCTGTTCATGGTGATGCCTGAAGTTTGGACCTCTTCTGAAACAAACTTAGTCATTGAAGCTTCGGGTGGTATGACCCTGTCGTTCTCAGAAATGGTAGGAATTGGAGATTTACCCAAATTTTTGGTTGTATACATATTAGATACGTGTGCAGGGCGAACAAGACCTCCAGTATCCTCGAAGGTCGACTTAACTGGAGAGTCTCTTTGTGGTGTCTCGAAGACCAATCCAGTATCATGATGAATTGGAGATCTTTCACTCCCACTTTTGAAATCTATTTCCACAACAACCTCATCTAGTGGATTAGCAAGTTGCTTCTTCTTCTTCTTCTTCTTAATATTCTTAACCACCTCATGAGATTTACGTTTCTTCGAGGCTGGTGATATCAGAACTAGAACATCACAAATTTTCACACCCCTTTCGGTTTAGCTGGGATTTGCAAATTTTCCAAATCTTCTAAACAGGTCTCTCTTTTGGTGAAGCAAGTGGTTCATCATAAATGTGGTCAATAATTGGTGGTTTAGGAGAGAGTCTAGGATGATGAATTGGTTTCTTGGTTCGCTTTCGAATACCCATCTTTGTTGGAATAACCTCCTTCAAAACTTCCTTTTCAACTTACTTAGGAACTAGTTTTGAAACCTCCTTCTCAGTTTGCATAGGAATTAGTTTAGGTTGTTCAAGGTTATTTGACATCTTGGAAACTTTAAAAACCTTCGAGGTGCCTTTTACCACTTTTGGGAACAAAACCCCTACTTGAACAACTGGATTAATCGTTGTCAAATAATGATAAAGAGCAGGATGAGCTGGATCGACCTTTCGTAACATGGCAACTGGGATTCGAGCCACTGTGGGAAATAATATTGGATCATCATAAACAACGTTAGGATGTTGATAGGTTGAAAACTCCGCCTTGGTAACATCAGATGGTACCAAAATTCTTTCCTTCTCATATACTTCTCTGAGAATCAAACTCCAATACCTTAACATTGGTATTAGAAATTCTTGTTCTGAACTCCTCCCACAATTGAGTCACTTAATAAACATTAAGATCATAGTAGAGACCTGAAATCATCGCATAAACCTCCAATTTTCCTTTATCAAGAACAGTGTTATGACCAGTTAAACATTGAAGGAAAATCCCAAACAGAAAGTTCCAAATACAAAGGTAATGCAGTCTTTTGAATGTGATTGATTCCTGTGAGTGGGGGTTGATGGCCCATTCATTGAACATATGAACAACCTGTTCATTGGTAACTTCATAAAACGGAGCTTTATTTTGGAGTTTCAGGATTTGAGAGAATTGGTTCTTGGTCAGTTTGTTAAGTTTATCATTCGTGAGTTGAAATGTCACCACCTTAGATGTTTTGTCGAACACACAAAATGAAAAAGACATAAATGTACAAAGAACAAAATGATTGAGAGCAACAATCTTCATCTTTAATTGTTCTGGATACTTCGAAACATTAGGATGAACACAAAAATTATAACTTTAAATCTTCAATAGCGGGTGAGATGGCGCTTCTTTAGTAGTTTTTGATGGTTCAATGTGACTGGTTGGTGTCGCCATGATTACGGTTTTGAGAGCTTTGTGGAGAGTTGAATATCGTAAGAGAATAATTGGGGAAAACTCAATCACATTATCTAAAGTCTTCAATTAGTCCACCAATAACCGTTTATACTCAACGGAAAAATTTGAATTTCAATCGTCCACTACTAAAAAAACCGCCATGTGTTACCTTGAAAAGTGGGTCAGTTTTTGGAAAAATCGTCACGTTTGAAAAAGTGATGATCATTTTTCCCTTGAAAACCATGAAAGAAATTAATCGTCACTTAACCTTCTTCATGAAAATGTAAATTGTTATAATCAAAATAGCACCTTGACCATCACCTTAAGGTAGGGCTCATTCGCTTTTGCGATGACAAACGAAATCATATCCAGACATCGCAAAATTTAGGTATGAGTTGGTATTACCCAAGACCTCGAGGATTTCGGTGCAAATACGTCCCAAAGAAACAGTGGGAACCAAGTTTAAAATAATGTGTGTATAGTGACATCAGATAAGCATTCAATGTAAAGTAGTATAATATATAAGTATTCAATCACTAGTTACTTAAGCTATTATTCCTTACATAAGTGAGTAACAATTCCAAAGCTGGAATATCCCCACCACATGGTGTGGTGGGGGTACTCCTCGAATATTCTATATTTTCTCTCACAAATTAATTCATCCATAAGATCATTATGATCATCGCCTTCTTCAGATACGTTGGCATTATAACAAGCAAAGTTTATGGGGAAAGTTATGGCAAAAATAATTGCATATTATCAAGAATAAGCAGTTAAAAGTTCATTTTTTAGAACATGAAGAGGTCCTTAAAGGAAAAATTGTGAATCTAGAAATAATTGTCGTATAGAAGACTATTTTTGTTGATGGCTTCGTATACGCTAAAAAGTTTAGAAAACAGTTTTGGATGACGAAAAATTATCCATATGTATTGTAGATGACTTGAAGGGTCAATTTTCATATTGTAAATTGAAATGGGATGTGAGAGGTAGAAAATATTATTCACCAATACAAAACACAATGTTTCAGTTTGTCGGTTAGAATACAAAATGGGATCAACCTCGTGGCATGAGTAATGATGATGTCACTTTGTTTCAGTTTGTCGGTTATATATATAGTTGTTCACGATTTTTCATCCTCTTTCCAAAAAAATCCATCTTGATATATAAAAAATAAAATTTTTTTTATCGAAGAAAACTCACTTTGTTTTGTTGTTTTTTTTTTCAATATTTAAGTCTATTTTTATTTAAAAAATATAATAATACCAAAAAATATTAAGTTTTTTGTCCTTTATTAATTGACATCAACATTGATGAAAAAAAAAAAATTCTTTGTGTATATATATATATATATATATATATATATATATATATATATATATATATATATATATATAAAAGAAGAAAAATCATGAACAATGGTATATTAAGTTATTTATTTATTTATTTATTACTATTATTATTATTATTATTATTATTATTATTATTATTATAAATGGACGTAAAAAATATTAAACGAAAAAAAAATAAGTGGGCTTCATTATAATCTGATGTATGTACGTTCATCATAAGTTCTACAGCCTTATTTTTCCCGTTAGTCGTTTTAAATTTCGACGCTTTAAATTACTTTATTGGTTTCTTAATTAACAATAGTTCTCTATCAAACTTTTCTCTCTCTCTTTCTCACTCTCTCTCTCTCTCTCTCTCTCTCTATATATATATATATATATATATATATATATATATATATATATATATATATATATATATCACATAGGATGGATGTACATCTACATGATCTTAATCACAATAACCTTTTTTTATGGGTAATTGTTTATCCAGAAAAAATCGAATATACTTAAATTCGTAATTTTTTATATTCTTTTCATAAACATCCATGTCGATATACAGAAAATAAATAAATTTTTTCAAAAAACTCGACATGGTTTTGTTAGCTATTTTATTGTTATTATTACTTAGGATTTTTTTATTGAAAAAATAAAATAAATATTTCGAAATTCCTAATGGATATTCCATGGATGTAGAAACAATCAAAATTTTAACTTTGTTTCACATCCATGGATTGATCAAAAATATGGTATATATATATATATATATATATATATATATATATATATATATATATATATATATATATATATATATATTGTTTTTTATCATTAATTTTGTTGTTTTTTTTTTAATATTTAGTTTGTTTTTATAGAAAAAAAAAAATAACATATATCCAAATCTTAGTGTAGTATATTGTTTAAATAGATATTCATGTTGGTGCATAAAAACCATTTTTTTTTCTTTCAATTTTAGCTTATAATCACATTGTTAATGTTGAAAACGAAATTATGTTCAATTTATATCCAGAGTGTGAATAATAGTAACTCATATATACATTGTCAATCCTAAAAGTTGAGTTATATAGATTTATGATTCACAGTAAGATCAAATTCACTTTTCAATTTTACTAAACAACTTTTAAAAATAAATAAATAAATAAATAAAATTCACTTTGCTTTGTTGTTTTTCAAATATTTAGTTTATTCTTTTTCAGAAAAACAGAATACATATATCAAAATCATAGTTTTGCATAATCTTCTGATAAACATTCTCGTTGTTGATTTATACGTTGATCCACAAATAAATTTCACTAAACTAATTATTGATTTATTAAAATGCTGAAATAGTAAGTCATACTCATATTTAAATGTTACAAACAAAATTATACGTCATTTGGATCATTGTGTGAATACTATGAA